CCGTGTAGCGCAGATCGCCGATGAGGCGCCGAGAATGCGTGGGGTCGACCTGCTCGCCCGTCTTTGTGTCTCTAAAGCCTCACCGCTCCTCCATTGGAGTGTGGCGGGGGTTGCGACCGACCATTTCGCCGAAACTCCGAGGATGCGCTTGGCGTAATGTGTCTGGCGGAGGTGATGCTCACCGGCATTTTGGTGCACCTTGACACCGAGGTAGAAGCTAAGTAGGCCGAGGTCACATGTCGAAGATCTTCATTTATGCCTTGAATGCCTCCACTTCTCATTCCTCCGCGCCGGTGATGATGAGGTCGTCGACGTAGACGCCGACGAGTAGGACAGAGCGCCCACTGCCCCGCCGGTACATCACCACCTCGTGAGCGCTTTGCTGGAAGCCCATATCCTTGAGCGTGGTATCCAGCTTGGCGTTCCAGGCGCGCAGAGCCTGCCGCAGACCGTAGAAGGCCTTGCGGAGGCGGTAGACCTTCCTTTCCTCTCCGGCGACGGCGAAGCTGGGTGGCTGCTGCACGTACACCACCTCCTTGAGGTCGCCGTTGAGGAAAGTGGATTTGACATCCATGTCGTGGACGCGCTAGCCTTCTTGAGCCGCCAGCGCGAGGAGGACCCTATCGGATTCCATGCGCGCCACCGGAGTGAACGCATCGTCGTAGTCCACTCCTTGCTGGATGAAGCCGCGCGCCACGAGTCTTGCCTTGTGCTTGATCACCACGCCCAGCTCATCTTTCTTGAGCTTGAACACCCATTTCAGGGTGATGGGACGGTGACCAACGAGGAGCGGCACTAGCTCCCAAGTCCGGTTCTACTCCACCGCCTTGAGCTCTTGCTCCATTGCCGCCCGCCATGCCGGATCGTCCTTGGCTTCGGCAAAGTTGGCGGGCTCGCCGGTGTGCGTCAAGTGCAGCTCGGCGAAGAGACGTTGAGGCGACGGAGGTGGAGGATGGTCGCCGATGATGTTAGTCATCATGCGGTACCGCAGCGGCTCGTCGTCATAGTAGGCGTCGAGTGTGTCTTCATCATCCTCTAGGGGAGTGGCGAACTCCATTTGATCACCGGCCACAGCTGCTGCCGCCGGTGAAGACGGTGAAGTGGTAGGGGCAGCAGGGGACGCTGGTGGTGGCGTTGGCGAGGCCGGCTGGGGTGCTGGAGGAGCGACCGCTGCTGCCGATGTCCCTCCGGGCTCCCCCGGACTTGGTGGCGGCGAGCGCGGTGCAGAGAGTGATGGCGCTGGCGATGTAGCTCCGGCCGCCACTAGAGAAGCACCTTGTGCTCCCCCGGCTCCTCCAGTCTCCTAGTACTCGACGGTGAAGTCGCTCGCTGCCGAGGCCGAGCTGCCAGCGTCCGGAGTGGACCAGTCCCAACCGCGCCCCTCGTCGAAGATGACGTCGCGGCTGATCTTCACGCGCCGCGTCACTGGGTCTAGGATGCGGTACGCCTTGGCTCCCTCTGCGTACCCGATGAAGACGCCAGGCTTGCCGCGGTCATCAAGCTTGCGGAGCTGACCCAGGTCCTTGGTGTAGACGACGCGGCCGAACGTCTTCAGATGGCTCACCGCCGGCTTCCGCACGTACCAAACCTCGTAGGGGGCCTTGCCCTGCAAGCTCTGCGTCGGCGAGCGATTGAGCAGGTGGACGGCCGTCATCACCGCCTCCCCCCAATACTTGGTCGGCATCCTCCTCTGCTTCAGTAGGGACCGGGCCGTGGTGACCACGGTCTGATTCTGGCGTTCTACCATGCCGTTCTGTTGTGGCGAGTGAGGTGTCGAGAAGTGGCGCTGGATGCCCTCTCCTGTGCAGTAGTCGGCGAACTCTACGACGATGAACTCGCCGCCGTTGTCGGTGCGTAGCACCCGGAGCTTGCGGCCGCTCTCCTTCTCTGTCGCGGCCTGGACATGCTTGATGGCATCCGCGGCAGCATCCTTGGACGGCAGCAGGACGGCCCACATGAAGCAGGACGTGTCGTCCACCAGCAAGAGGAAGTACCGCCGCACTCCTAGAGTCGCCGGCGTCACGGGCCCGCAAAGGTCGCTGTGGATGAGCTCCAGCTGCTCCTGCGCGCGGTACATGGCCTGATGAGGAAAGGGGCGCCGACGCTGCTTCGTCGTGACGCAGGTGTCGTAGAATTGCTCGACGTGCTTGATCACCGGCATGCCCCGCACCATGGCATGCTTGCCGAGTTGGTGCAGCGCCTCGAAGTGGAGGTGGCCGAACCGTTCGTGCCAGCGCCAGGCGTCGTTGTCCTTCCTCGTGGCGAGATAGAGTGGCTGCGCGGCCTCAAGATGGAGGACGTAGAGGCGACTGGGCCCGCGGTTCACCTTGACGAGGAGGCGCCCGCGGCGATCCCAGATGCGAAGCACGCCCTTGTCGATCTCCACCTTGGACCTGCCTTCATCGAGCTAGCCGAGGCTCATGATGGAGTTGCGCAGCGCCGGGATGAAGTAGACACCGTGGAGAACTCAGTGCTCGGCGGTCTTGGCTTGGAACACGATCGAGCCGACACCTTGGATCTCCACCCTTGACGCGTCGCCAAACCGTACCGAGCCACGGACAGAAGTGTCGAGGTTGGAGAAGAGCTCGTGACGGCCGGTCAAGTTGTGGGTGGCGCCGCTATCGAGGTACCAGCCATCCAGCTTGTCCTCGCCAGAGCCGATGTTGAGGAATGCACGAGCTCTGGGCTCGTCGATGTCAAGGGTGGCGTCGGCCTTGGAGCAGAGGATGTCCTCCTCTGTTTCCAGCTCTAGGAAACCGTGGGCGAGGAACAAAGCCGCCTCATCGTCATCCGCCTCCGCGAGATGCGCTGCGCCACCACGCTCGCGTCGAGGCTGAGGACAATCCTTCGCCCAATGGCCGGCGCGGTGACAATTGAGGCAGGTGTCGTCGCGGTTCGCCTTGTGTTCGCCGCCGGCGCCACCAGCTTTCTCTCCTTGCCCGCCGCCGCCACGGTTGCCACACTCGCCCTTGGGCTTCTTCTTCCTGCCGCCGCGGGCACGTCGGCGGTGCTCCTTGGACGAGCTGGATGAGCCGAAGCCGTCTCCTCCCTTCTTCTTCTCCTTCTACCGAACGAGCCATTGCTCCTCGGTGTACATCAGCTTTCCGCCAATAGAGATTGGCTCGGTCGGAGTTTCTTCCTCGAGATCGTCCATCGTCTTCAGCCTTCCGGTGACCTCCTCGATGGTGAGGTCCTGGAAGTCGAGGAGGGTCTCAATCACGATCTTCAGCTGGGCGTACTTCTTCGGCGCCGCTCGAAGAAGCTTCTCCACCGCCCACTCCTCCGTGAGGTCCTTGTCGCCGTGGCGGGCCATCTGCTGCTTCAGCGCAGAGAGGCGAAGCGCGAAATCCTCAACCTGCTCACCGGGACGGAAGGCGAGGTTCTCTCACTCCTTGCGCAGTCGCTGCAGCGTGGCACGGCGAACACTATCGACGCCGATGTGCGCCGCGGCGATGGAGTTCCACGCTTCCTTGTCCGACTCCTTGTCCGCGAGCGGCGCGCCCATCTCCGGCGGTACTCTGGCGATGATGGCCTCGAGCGCGCGCCGGTCATCGTGGTACGGGAGGTCGACGTACTCGTTGGCGTCCCAGAGCTGGCGCACCTGCATCTTCACTTTCATGAGCAGGCTCCACTCGTGGTAGTTGGTCTTGGTCAGCATCGACCATGGTGTCCCCATGCCGGAGTCCTTGTACACCATTTGGACGGCTGCAGGTGACCCACGCTGGCCTCCGCGTCCGCGACGGCGCTCTGGCGATGGTGAGGGGATCCTGCGGCGCACCGGGCTCCGCGACGGCTCCCTGGGCTGCCGCTCCAACTCCGCACGCAGCGCGCGGCCGTGTTGGCCGCTGCCTGCCTGGCTGCCTCGATCGCCTGCGCGGCTGCGGCCTCTGCCACGGCCAGACGCTGAGCGCGATCAGCGCCGGGATTGACCACCATCCCTCTGCTGGCGTTGTTGCCGGCGTTGGCGGCTGCACGCAGAGCGCGCTCGCTGGAGGTGGATATGCCCTCTGCTCTCTCCTAATCCAGGCTCTAGATACCAATTGTTGCAAGTAAGTAACTAGACAAGTGGAATATTTCCTGCCAGAGGGCAGCTTGGCACTTAGGCCGCTTGATTGCATTATATAGAAGTAGCAAACTTGGGATACAAGAAGGTGCTTCACCTACTACAGCATATGCTAACTGCATAAAGCAGATGCTACCTTGGATGCTAAGGCATCTGAAAATAGCTAGACAGTAAACAGTAACTATCTAAGACAGTGAATGGTAAATAGCTTAAGTAGGTAAACTAGATACATTGGGTAAGCACTAGGCTAAACCCTCAGCCTTTTTATACAAAGGTTTCACAATGTATTGATGTATCGCCTTTTAAAACATGCAAAATGGACCTACATTTATGTCTATGTGTATCTATTTGTTTGGCTAATAGAACATTGTTTTTTTTGTACCCTGTTTGTTTCCTTGGTTGGGTAGTTTATTTTCCTGTGTGGGCGCATATGTTACTATGACTAAAGTGATTGCGTAAGAGACCGGTTCTGTAGTCTTTCTTCTACTTTAATAAAATGGTATGCAGCTCACCTGCATATTTGAGAAGAAAAGCATTGCATGTTTTGGAACATATTCAGAACTTTTTTTCTTTTTTTTGGGGGGGGGGGGAGATGCCTACTCGGTCCATTTTTTTTATGAATAGTCCAACATATCAGCTTTATTCAAATGCACTTGCGCTACTCCTTGTTTAGGCTACCAGAAGATACAGATAATGAAGTCTAGTTGTCTGTAATGTTCGCTCTAGACTAACAAGTGATTGTGCATGAACTGTTTAATATGTGGATACTGTTGAAGTGTTCTCTACTTGATAAGCCGCGAAGTGCTTTAATAGCATATAATATATATTGGGGCGCTACTCGACCATATTTAGTATGTTCTTCTGTTTGTTGCTGGATTCATTTTTTACTATCATATGTTCCTTGTTTGACAATTTCTTTCTTCACAATCCTTTGTAGTGCCACAGTCTGTCGGAATATCAAAACAGAAGGTGGATTAGGATTGCTTGTAAATATAGTCAAGGATCAAGATACCCCAGTAGAACTACTAGAGAAGGTATTGGCCTTCAACATGACCTTTTTTACACATAAGAGTAACATTGTCATGGCTAGGGTTCTAACTTAACAGTTCCTGTGCAGATAATTTATATACTTTCTCGAATGTTTGACATGGCGATTTGCATGGTTCCTACAGTGAGTCTGGCATATTTTGCACATCACTGGTTTTAATTTTTTTTATATTGAAACACTGCACTCTAATGCTCTCAATTTGTCAGCCGGATACTGAAGGTGATAAGGATAGTGGAAACAATGCAATTCCCCAGACATCTGTTAACCAAGAGATGGCCAGGTTAGTTTGGGCCTTGTGGCTACACATGTGACTTTCTTTACTTACTCTCTAATTTCATGGTAAATCTTGAGTTCTCATTCCCTTAATTCATAACAAAGTGTTGTTTTAGCTTTATGCACACATATGACAAATTGTTATAACTATAAGATTACCACATTAAATGTCTGGCTGTTTATTCACTTTGTATTGTTTTATATAAATGCGTGAGACCTTGCACGATTGGTCTATTAATAATGTTAAGTTTTATGCATGCATATTACCAATTGGGTCTTCAGTTACTGACTTACTGTATCACCCTTTTCTGTTTTGTCTGTAATACTTCTAACAATTAAGCTCAAGTGTCGAGACAGATGTCAAACTGGTTAATTTTTTGATAAAACTATTGTCTTTAGCCCTTGAAATCATTCACAATTAATATATGGTATAGATATAGATATATATGATTATAGAGACACTTAATATATGAATATTTTTCTTTCTAAAATAGCAATTATGTAGGGACAATAGTTTTAGGGATGAAGGAAGCACTTTCCAGTGGTGAATAAGTCATTTTCAGTAGTGGGAAAAACATGAATTTGTTTCATAACAAGCTGCTTATAGGAACCAACCAGTTATGTTGTTTGTCATAATTTAATTACTCCAGAATAAGTACATCAGTAGATTGAATAATTGAACCATGGGAGTTACAGAAAACCAGTTCAATGACTCATTAAACTGCTTTTTTTTTAGTTGCATATTTCAGTGCAGTTTATGTTGTACAAATTTTGTTGAGTTGAGTTTTAATCTCACACTTATCAGTGGATCACCTAATCCTCTTTAGAGTCAGTATTTCCCAGAAGGAATAATCCATTTTACCCATATCAACTATTGCTGAAACCTAGATTCACCCTTAACTATTAACCGTCAAAATTATTTTTCTCGAATACGCAGGAGATCTGCGTATCATTGTATTATAGAGAGGAAATAAAGGCCCGAGTGCATTACCAACTCATGCCGGTACCATACATGAGAAGGTTGGGACACAACATTATCACCTATGAGACATCTGACGACCGACAACCAGGCACCTAACTAGAGGTCCCACCCCCATCTAACCGAAGTGCTAGGAGCTTCTTAGCTCCAGCCAAGCACCACAGTTTGTACTCATCTCTAAACTGTCTCAAGACCTCATTAACGGATGGAGTAGCTCCATCAAAGACACAAGAATTGCGATGCTTCCATATCAGCCAAGATGTCAGAATAGTTAGCGAATTAACCCCTTTTTTGTACTCCTTGACTCTACGAATGCACTTGGCCCACCAATCAGCAAAGCTATGTTCGTTCTGTTGTGGTACTGCTCTATCCATCTCCATAGGCGAAAGGATGCTGAACCATACTTGCCGTGAGAACACACAATTAGTGAGCAGATGTTGAATAGTCTCCTCTTGGTCGCATAAAGGTCATCTCTCTGGATGTGACAATCCTCGGCGAGCAAGCCGATCCACTGTCCAACATCGGTTTCTGATGGCGAGCCAAATAAAAAATTTACATTTTCCAGGGGCCCATGACTTCCATAAACGTCGCCAAGGCCCAAATGTCACTGAACCATAGAAGAAAGCTCGGTAGGTAGACTTGGCGGAGTATGTTCCAGAGGCATCGAATCTCCAAATATGTTGATCATCATCCTGGGAGAGCGCAACCTCCCTAAGACCATCCCAAAGGTGCAAGTACTCTGAGATTCGGATCATGGACAGGCCTCCCTGAATATCACTCACCCAAGCATTATTTTCAAGTCACAAAGCGAACTATTCTTTCGCCTTTTACTAACCGTCAAATTTACAGTCTTAACTGTCACCATATCAAAGAGCCCTCTGATGGTGTTTTCATGGGCTTTTTTATGCACTACTGGCCGTTGACTGCCTTTAAACATAGCCATGGTGGCAAGAAACATGCCAAATCAACATGCTTTGCCACATTACCATTGACCTCTAGTCTTTCTCTTCCCTTCTCATCCATGGGCACCATGACATCAACCATTCAGCAGCGATTACTCTGGATCTAGATTCGCCCTAGTCCCTGCCTTGTTACCACTGCCATGAGCATGGTAGGCTTGCATGCTTACCATCACTTGAGAGTGCATGGCACTTGCACATTGACCAATTTGATCGCATCCTGAAAGTTAAAATTTGTGGTGTCTCCTTAACAAGCTGCTAGCACATGTGGATAGCATGTTGACGTCCCTCTTGATTTTGCTTGTGTTTTGACCAGTTATCTTGCACTGTTATTTTTCATGCCGGAGTTGTAAATGGGTTTGCTCTTTTATTTACCAATACCTTATTAGTGTTGTGGCCATTTATTACTCTTCCCCAAAAATCCTATCTTAATTTCTTTTCTTAGCCACATTGATCTGTCACCTCTGTTCCTTCCTAGTGTTTGAATATGCCGCCACAACCATGTCTTTCTCTCTAACACGGTAACCCCAGTTTCTCTTCTACTCTTATCAATGAGAGTATGATTGCTGGCGAACATATCTACTACGCTGTGGTTCTACATACTACAGTTTTGGCAAAACCACTCTTTGGGGCACACAGATCCTTAGACACAACTTATGTGGTCCATTGTTCTGCACTATCATCTTTGGCTTCTTGCTTCTCTTTTGGGCACGCAAGCCTGACACTTTTATCATTCATGTGGTGTAGTGTCTGTTGGAATATTGTAGTGATGTGATTCTTTTAATGTTTGTAGCGAGTTGATCTTCGATTTTGATGCTATCTCGCGCTTAACGAAAGTTCTGAAGGAAGCATCGCCAAGGTTGCAAGCAAGAGTCTGTTGTGTACTAGACCATGTAGCAGCTTCGGAGCAACATGCCACTGCAATGACTGCTGCTTGCACTGGTTCAGTAATCGAAGCTATTCTTGAAATAGGGGTTATTCATGGTAAATTTTTAATTCAGTTTTGTGTTAGATTTACAAATGGTTACATTACTTCTTTTCCTTGTATCATTTATATATATATCATGAAATAGTTATGGTAGTAATCTTTGATAAGAGTTTTTATGCACCAAAAAGCTTTATGGTAGTGCCCTGACTTGACATGAATTATTATACATATCGTATGTTAGAGTATTAGATTAATGCATTTGTTTGAAGTGTAAAAATAGCCTATTAATAATGTATTAATCGCCAAAAAAGTAATTGATCGAGCAGAAAACATCAAGATTTGTTGAGGCCTATTGGTTTGTACCAAAAAATGGAAGAATGAACATAAACTTTGTTTTCATATCAACCATATTACATTTGGTCCATTTTTTATCCATGCACATCAACTTTTAACATTAATCAAGTTCTGAATTTTGGTAGCTATATCATGTCTACCCTAATGGAAATATATTTTCTGGTTCCATAGTTCTATGTTTCACTGCCATAATTTAGTATGATCTTTCAGTCAATTCTATCAATCAGTCAGACCTATATCGCTGTCATCCCTGCATAAATTTTTCTGGAATGATGGTGCCTTTTGGTGCTTGTATGCTGTTCATTAAGGTTGTATTATAGGTAACAATATAACATGACATTACAAATTATGATGCAAATATGATTGGCATATATAGTGTTAGCCAAGAATGGTGCTAATGAATCAGTTTTTGTGGAATTTTCTTCGACAAAATATTATGATTTAGTAGCATTCTGAGATATCACAATTTGCTGTCATTTTCTGCTAGTTTTCCATCTCAGAAACCTTGAAATGCTGCTATATTGATATAATCTTCATCTCTAAAATTTCTTTATGTTTCTCTATATAATAGGGACCAGAAGTGACTCTGAAAACTTTGATGAAACTCCTAGTGCAGTCATCAAAGAACTCAGTGAGGCTGTGTCTGCAGCTGTGAGGTTACTCACAAAGTTATTGAACTTTGATCTTTTCTTCCGCAGCATAAACAGTGAAAAAATCACTTCTCTGCTAAGAAGAATGCTCAAGTCAAGTTTCCCCCTTCAGTCAAAGGATTGTCTTGCAGCATGCCTCCTTAAGCTAGAATCCAGAGCTGGCTTATCAGGAGATCATGGTGTCAGTAATATAGATATGGAGATAACTATCTATCAGACTATTCCAAGGCTAGTTGAGCAAATGATGAACTCACTTAAATTTGAAAATAAGAAAAGTGCTGTAATAGAGCTGAACAAGATAATATCTGGTGGTGTGCTGGAATATACAAGAGCATTGGCTGATGCTGGAGGCATATTTCCACTGGTCAAAATGCTTGAAGAGGGGGATGGAGATGCACTGGAAGCTGTCTTAGCTATCTTGTATAATCTGAGCATGGATCCAGAGAATCACCCAGCAATAATTGCTGCTGGAGCAGTGCCCCTGTTGAAGCGGATTGTTCTTATGGAAGGCCCACAATGGAGTAGTGCTATTCAGTTGTTGAGAACATTGCCTGTATGACATTGCTGAAGAAAATGACCATTCATCGTCAATGAACATTTTAACTGCACTTAGTGGCTTAGTGCATGCACAGGTACATTGTGAAGATCTTCTTCAGTGTCTACACGATCAGTTTGTTCCAAATGCCTCTGCAATTGCGATACTTTGATGTTGTTAAACACCTAGTCATTGTATCACTTTTACATGGATACCTTCTCTCTTAACATTACAATGGTAGATGATAACCATAATTGGAGTACATATTTGGATAATGATGCAAGGTTTATTGCCTTTCTTGGATGTTTAGGAGACAGAGAATTGATGCAAAATAAATTGAATTAGTTCTCACAGGACTACTAGCTGATTTAGGAATTTTCTGGAATAAATAATAATCACAACAACAACAAAGTCTTTAAGTCCCAAACAAGTTGGGAGTAGGCTAGAGTTGAAACCCTGCAGAAGCAATAAGGTTCAGGCACGTGAATAGCAGTCTTCCAAGCACTCCTATCTAAGGCTAAGTTTTTGGGTATATTTTATCCTTTCAAGTCTCCTTTTATTGCCTCTACCTAAGTCAACTTCGGTCTTCCTCTGTCTCTCTTCATGTTACTATCTTGGCTTAGGATTCCACTACGCACCGGTATCTCTGGAGGTCTCTGTTGGACATGTCCAAACCATCTCAATCGGTGTTGGACAAGCTTTTCTTCAATTGGTGCTACTCTTAATCTATCACGTAAAGTCAAAATCGTTTAGCTTATTATCTTAAATTCAGTTGCACATTGCTGAATTTAGCATATATGCAATTAAGGATTGGCAATCAGAACACACATGGATAGAACTTGTGAAAGTTCTAAGAAAAGAATTTATTTTCTGGTCGTCCTTGATGACTCCATGATGATTTCTTAGGGAGGCATACTATTATCTTCAAACAAACCTTTGGTGGATATACAGGTATTGTTGACTGAAGAACCGGTGCAGAAAATGTCTTTGAAAAAGTTTGGATTATTTTATCTTGTTTCTGAATACAAAACTAACAATAATGAGATCCTTTACTAAACATGATTTCTTTTGCAGCTAATTTCTTAGATTGAGGTCGCAGCTGAACCGAGCTCCAGCTCCCTATCATCATCAAAATTTGAATTTATGACCTGGAAGAAAGTATCAGAAAGGACATTTCCTCCGAAGTAGCAATATACGCTGCCCTTTTGGCTAGTTGAAAAGCACACCGGGGCATGATATATGATGTCTTTTTGCTCACATGCGACGGCAATAGATAGTACCATGAACTATTTTGGACACTGGCAGTTTGCTGGTGCCTAGTTGTGAGACCCTGGAAAGTTCAAACTGTAGCGTGTTATTTAATAGTCATGTTTCGACGCTAGGTGACTTCACTCTGTAAAAAATGGGGATCCTTTTTGTATAACCGAGCTTTAACTACTGAATTATCCTGACTAGCGCAACAAAATTGCAGTAAACTGACGTATACTCATTGCTTGGGGACTTGACTACTTGGGCTACCATGATCATAGTCATTGTGATCGACGTGGACCCAGCTCATATGCAAGCGGGCTTGTAGACAGACCTGCAAACAGGTTCAATTTTTACGTGTATATGTATTATATATAGTAAGATGAGGGGATCGATCTCGATCATGTTTAGCCGCACCTCTAGTCAAAAATTCTGGTTCTGCCAGGATGATGGCGGCGGCGGCGCACGACCACCGCTGAGGCGCTGACGCGACATGGCCCTAGGGCGGCTGCTGCTGCTGCTGCTATACGTATGCTGCCGTAGAGTCCCGGTCGCCGCGCTAGTTCTAGCTAGTTGTTCTGTACATGGGCTCACCTAACAAGTGCTCGTGTCCATACATGAATATCGTGGGAGCGTTTGCTTGTGTAAAACATGAATATCGTGAGAGCGTTTGCTCATGTATAAGATTTCTTATTCTCCAACCGAAACGACAAATCGTGCAGAGAGGAAAGCTAATTTTCCGGGAATTGAATTGAAATGTATTCTTGGGGGCAGGAGCGGCGACCCTGAGTGACTACTGACAAGTCCCTGACGAGCTCATACCGTGCCGGTGAGGCGTGAATTGGGAATTTGGATGCATCTCAATTCTCAAACTACTACTGGGTGTGGGGCGGGGGTGACAAACGAACGCCCTCCTCGGGATCTGGACTCGTCCGACGTTTTTTAGCCAGAGAGTACCTCGCTGTTGCTCTGGGAACACTGAACAAGTGAACAGTCTCGGCTAGGCTCAGATGATTCCGAACAGCTTCGTGACCCAAACTTGTGTTTCGAACTTGTTAGCTTCACGTCCATATGAATTTCGTTCCCGCAAACCGCAGCCGTAATGCCTCGACGATTTAGCACAGTGGCAGTGCTGCGTTACTAGCGAGTCGTGCATGCGACATCAGATTGCGACACAACACATCTGCCATAACTGCGAAGTGCCGAGTGCCGAATGCCGAATTAGCTAGACACGGCCACACGGTCACTCTTCTAGCCAGAACCATGGTCCATATATCATACCTTGGCATTCGAACTTAGCTCTTCTCCAGACACAAAGAAGTGAGACTACCGACAGAAACTTTCTGTACCCATTTTTAACGTGTTCAAATACTAAAACGAAGGCAAGAGAACAATACTACAAACTGCAATATTGGACTCCGAGACTGCTGCAAAGCAAATGGGGATCTCAATTGCTATGACTGAAAGAGCCATGACTGAAAGTGCTATATCACTTTGCCTGAAAAAACCATGACATTGAAGTTGATTGACTGGGAATACAAGGCAAGTCTTGCTTTTATAACTTTTGCAGCATCCTGCACACAAAGATATTCAAAACCATAAGCATTATCCACATTTGCTTATACTAAAAACAAGGAACTCTCAGTGTCACGACCAAAATCCCCTTTAAGCTAATGCAACGAGCTAAAAAAAATTCTTTTACAACTAAATGTCAGCTCTCTGGCGTTTACAAGGTGGGAGGGTGGGAGGCACCCTCCCACCAAGGAAGCAAGTGCTCAGTCCCCACATCAAAAAATTCTCATGCTTATGAGGTATAAATTTGCAGGCATAGTCTTTCCATATCATAATCCTAGAACTCAACGAATGCTGAGTAGCGTATGAAAAGAAATAACATGGTTGTTCCAAAAAAAAATAACATGGGTCGATCGATTTACGTGCAACAAGGTATCAGGAGTGGAAGGCCCATGGGGTATTGGCTGTGATGTCCCCCCATCAAGCTCATAAAGTTCTCCTGGAAAAAAAATGTAAAGAGTTATGAGAAGCTGCTGATAGACTAATTGTCGAGGATTTGCAGCAAAATCCAACTATGGTGTCTTAGTAGATGATCGTATGTTACATACCATCGACGCAAGAGAAACAAATGTAATGTTCAATTACTCCATCCTTGGCCTGCATAGTAAAATGGGATCCATCAGCTTCAGATGATAGTCAAAGATAAGATAAGCTCAGACCATAGTTTTGGCTAATTGACTTGATTCAGTTCTTTAATAACAACTGTTACAACTGATTGTGAATTGACATGTCCAGTTCTCACTTACAATGACACAGATCAACAAAATACAACACAGATCTCAGATATTCAGGTAACCTGTAACTCTAGCTGGTCAGTAAACTGTTCTTTTCTAGATCAGTAAACAAGTGTTAGCAGTCAGTTCTCAGATAATGGTAAACGGAAACCACTTTGATTTTGAGAAGCACTGACAACAAAAATTATAAGAATAGCCTGTACACACTTCATCAAAAGAATAACACCCATAAATCTCGAGCAAATATTAATGTACTAGGCACATGTAATAATAACCTCTGTGTCACCAGCAGTAGCGGCAATGGAATGAGCATTCTCCATTTCCTCGTCCTCCTCAAGAAATGTAGCACGCTGAAAATATCACCCACTTAATATGTTAGTTCAGCATATGATGGAAGCCAACAATATGAAAGCATTTAAACTGCAACACATCGATCACTAACCTGGGTAGGATTCATGTCAGCAGTTCGTTTATAAAATCTATCGAAATATGACCCCTCAGCTGCAAAGAAAAAAAGTTAATAAGATCTCACAAGTGAAAGATAGCTAGACTAATTTTTTTTTTAAGGAATCATATGAAATTCTCAGAGGATCATGCAGATTATTTTATTGGTTTTTAGATAATGAAAATTGAAGGGCGGGCCTGGTGCAAGCGGTAGAGTCTTACCGCCTGTTACCGGAAGGTCCTGGGTTCGAGTCGCGGTCTCCTCGCATTGCACAGGCGAGAGTAAGGCTTGCCACTAACACCCTTCCCCAGACCCCACACAAAGCGGGAGCTCTCTGCACTGGGTACGCCCTTTTTTAGATAATGAAAATTACTGTTGGTGACAAAATGGTCTGAAAGTTGCAATGTCTTTCACAGGCAGACTGAAAAATAGAGTAGTGTAGGATTGGTTAGGGTAATTAATTTTAACATATGTTTTGATTTTTATCAAAATGCCATAGATGAAAAGTTAAATAAGAGCTCAAAAGTACTGGGAGAAAAAAGAGAGTACCTAGTTTGATTCTGGAAGTAGCATTCCCCAGGGCATGAATAATACCAACTGTGCCACAGGCATTCCCAACAGTTTGTTTTGTGAAATATACGTTCTTGCTGGGCTCCTGCATAATGTAGTTTCAGGACTAATGAGTAAAGAAGGATACTCTTGACAGTTAAAGAAGTACAGTAACAACCTTTGATTTAATTCAATGCTATATAAATTTGAATTGAACTTTACATCTTGAAAAGATACAAATTATCAACATAACTGAAACCTTTGATTTATGTGCTAATAATGCATCACTAGTGAGACGGTGCACTATATGTATAGTAACATCAGATCTATTGATACTTCAAGTTACCAATTGTTAGGAATCAACTATCACTTGAAGATAAATTAGCATGTTTACTTAAAGAAAGAGACAGTAGGCTTTATAAAATTAAACCTGAACATGCTTATATTTGAAGAATAATGTAAGTGACTTATTCATAATGTGACTTTGAAAAATAACCAAGGGTTTGCTAGATCTAATGCAGTAATGTTCACCAACAAACAAAATTAGCAAAATTACACAAGCAGTTTCCAATCTATAAGTTTGAAAAATCACTGGATCAGTTTCGCTGCATTTACAATGAGAAGTAACCATGTATATCTATTCAATGGAACAGATTGCTTTGGAACAATACTAGCAAGCAACCCGACTTCAGTCTCACCTTGGTTTCCACCGACGAGGTAGCTGAAGCTTGGGCTTCCTTGCTCCGGTCCTGCTCAACAAAACGCGGTAAAATATGTGCTCATCCCACAAAGCGCTTCAAGCAACAAAACCTATGAATGTAGGGCGCCAGCCATGAATCGAGAATCACCTGAGGGTAGAGAAGTATGACTGCGAGGGCACCATGGCGAGCAACTCGTCATCGAGGCCGTACACGTCGCAGAACCCCACGTCCTCTGGGACCCCCAGCCCCCACATGAACTACACCGATCGCGCAGGAAATAAAGGGCGCCGTGAGCGAGGAAGACCAAGGGGCCGAGTCGGAACGAGCCCTGAAGTATCAGAACTCAGATCAGATGAGGGGGTGGGTGTACCTGGTTCATGACGTCGGGATTGGCCTCGAGGGGAAGGAGCCTTTTGCACGTGTGTCATTAGTAATAAAGATGCTCCATTCCTATATGTTTGCTGGAAAGTTTATATAGATTATGGTCCCATGACGCTAAATTTTCTTGTCCTCTATGTCATTTCATCCGCCTTCTGTTAGATTTCCACCGTTTATTAGCCCTGATATGTGGGCCCGCCCAGAGAAAATGTACAAAAGCCCCCCCCTCTCCCAATCCCTCCCCACGCACGTCTTCACGCGCATCAATACAGCAAGAAACAACGGACACCACGTTGGGAGCTCGTCGCTGGTTTCCATCCTCTTCTCAACAAATCCGCTGCTCCGTGATGATGTTAAGTGCCTACTGCGCCAAAATCCTTGGTGCGGCGGACCTCGCCGCATCAACCACATCGACCAAGCAGGAGGCGGCCTCAGGCGCCATCGTCGTCATCACCGAGCCGGCGTTTGTCGGAAAGGTACAGGGGCTCGCGGCTGCCCTGTCCCGACTCGCCGTGTCCGCCCCACCTCGACGAATTTGACCGGGTCACGCGCGGCCGTCCCGCGGCGCCGCTGCCTGCGGAGCTCGCAGCCGCCTGGCGGAGCTTCGGTAGCGGCCTCGACGCCTCCCCGCGCGCAGCCGCTCAACGTCGTGGACCTTCGGCCGCGGTTGCTCGACGCTCGCCTCCCCGCGCGCAGCCGCTCGACGGAGCTCCCAGCTGCCCGACGGAGCTTAGGTGCCTGACAAACTCGCATCGGAGGAGCTCGCGGCCGCCTGACAGACTTGCTCATCGGTGCTCATGGCCACCAATCGATGGTCGTGGTCGCCAGACGAACTTGCTCGGCGGAGCTCCCATGGCCTAGCATGCATGTGGACACCCGTCGGAGCTCCCATCGCTCGTTCGCACCACGTGAGCTCGCCCCGCCGGCAGCCACGCGTTCACCCACGCCGTCGGTAGCCGCACGCTCGTTCGCGCCGCCGCCTGCGCCCGCGTGCTCGCTCGTCGGCCGCCGCTCATTCACGCCACTCGAGCTCGCCCCACCAGCAGCCACGCGCTCGCCCGCGCCGCCGCGTGTGTTCGCATGCTCGCTCGCCGGCGCCGCTCGTTCGCGCCACGCGAGCTCACCCACGCTGCCCGCTTGCTCACAACGAAGGAGAAAGGCATGGAGGAAGGGATAAGGAAGAGAGAGAAAACACATATATTTATTATATGTAGACACTCGTATAGAGAAGGGTATTCTGAACATTATCACTGGTCGGGCCCGTACGGTGGAAACCTAATAGAAGGCGAACGGAATGGCGTGGAGGACAAGAAAGTTTAGCGTCATGGCACCAGGATCCGTGTGAACATTTTAGTGACATGTATAAATAGAGCATCTTTTATAATGGCACGTAGGGAAAAGCCTCGAGGGGAAGCCACCGCTTCACCATGGCGACTGGAGCACCGGAGGAAAGGAAGGCGGAGCTATCGGCATCCGGTGGAGGAGAAGGTGATGGCGGCGGCGATTTTGCGAGGCTGCGTCCTATGTTTCTGCGGTGCGGTGAATCGGGCGTTTTTGTTGGCGTGTTTGGCTTTGGCCCTCTGTACGCTTCGGTTGCTAGTTCGTTCCAATTTTGAAATGCACTTTAGTCCTCCGAAATGTGTGCACATGACAACTCAGACTTTTGGTTATATAGTACTATATTTAAAAAAACTTGAAATTTTGGTTAATATTGCGAATTTCGCCACGCTATGAAGTTCAAATGATAGCGTCCAATCAGATTTATATGGACCTATAGAGGCGTTCTTCCTCATCAGGCGCGAGTGCGCGACACGTGATAAGTCTCCAATACTAGACTGCCGAGCATGCACCGGTAGCACCCGATGATTCTTCCACGGCATGGCGTCTGTTTTCGTTTTCCAAGGCCGTTTGGAGCGTAGGAATTTTGCAGAACCACACAGAAATTTCGTAGAAATCCATCTGTCGGTGTTTCGAGTTGCCACCAACGAGTAAATTTGTAATATTACGCGTCTGGCCCGGATGGTGTGCTAAGAGGACACGAGGTTTATACTGGTTCAGGCAGAATGTCCCTACGTCCAGTTCATTGCTGCTGCTCGTGTTACTGGCACTGAAAGTTTATAGTAGGGGTTACAAACAGTCGAGAGAGGGACTGGTCATAAGTCTCTGGTGAGAGGAGCGAACGGGCACTGAGGGCTCGGTCGCTGCTCAGCTGTATGTTCGGGGTTCGATGAGTTGATCAGGTTCGAGTCTAGTTCCGATGTGTTCGATTCCGTTCCCTTAATGGGACGCCCTGCTTTTCCTTTTATAGGCCAAGGGAAAGCGGGGGTTACAGCAGAGGGAAAAGAGGAGAATGAGAAGGAGAAGAAGTTCTCTAGGATCGTCGGGTCATTCTTTTCCTTCACGTGGGTCTCGTCGGCCTTGTAGACGTCAACAGAGACAGCTCCACGTCGTGGCCCTGTCCGCCACTAGCGCCATGTGCAGGCGTTGTCTCCCGGTCGTGGCGCTTCGCTCCATCCTAGCGGACGTCGTGGTGGGCTGACGCGCCCGTCAGTCCTCGTACGAGGGTTATGCAAAACAGCACATGTATGCCCAACGATATTCCTGATGTGAATCCCCAGGTATGGCCCGTCACGGCCACGGGTTATATCAGGGCGTGCCGGTCACCTCCCTAGCGTTAGAGCTTTGACCCAGACCCATACGTCGGGACCTAGGGTGGTTGGCGGCGGTATGGGTCTCCGTCAGGCGAGACGGAGCCTCCGGCCTCGGGGTCGGGTGAGGCGGAGTTCCTCCCCAGAGGCCGGGCAAGGCGGAGCGCGAACCCAAGGCTCGGGCGAGGCGGAGCCCAAACCTAGGGGTCAGGCGAGGCGGAGCGTGAACCCAAGGCTCAGGCGAGGCGGAGCCCAAACCCAGGGGTCGGGCAAAGCGGAGCTAGCCCTTAGAGGTCGAGCGAGGCGATGCCCGCGGCCTTGGTGTTGGGTGAGGCGGAGCCAGTCCTCAGGGGTCGAACGAGGCGAGCTCGTCCCCAGAGGTCGGGAGAGGCGGAGCCAACCCTCAGGGGTTGGGCGAGCGCGAGCCAACCCTCGAGGGTCGGGCGAGGTGGAGCCTATAGCCTCGGCGTCAACCTCGTCGGGTCGCGAGGTGGAGCCCACAGCCTCGATGTCGGGCGAGGTGGAGTCAACCCTCAGGGGTCGGACGAGGCGGAGCCCTACCCTCGGAGGTCGGGCGAGACGGAGCTTGCGTACCTGGGGTCGGCAAGAGCTGTAGGCGCGCTCTTGACCGCTCGGATGAATCAACGTTGATGGTTGTTAGCTACTCATCTTCGGGTACCCTAGTATTGGTCCCCGACACCACCCTATTGCTCTGCGCGGCTGCGCCTGCTCTTTTGTTGCTTTCTGCCGCTGCGGTTTTTAGTTTGCACAACGGCATTCCGCCCGTGGTGGACAACAATGACATCGGCCGCTCGACAAACCCTCACGTGATTGGCTCATCAATGCCATCGGTGGGCGAGGTAGCACCTGCTCACGACGCCATTAGCACAGCTCGGCCGGTCATGCCACACCGCTCCTTCCCAGAGCACCAAACGTCGTCTGGTACTCTAGTCCTGCACGTGTGCGCCCCAGACGAACCCAGCTCCATGGAACACGGGCAAGAGCAAGCGTATGGCGGCGGCGAGTGTAACACCCCTGGTATTATGAGCTTGCTTAGCACCGAGGTTTAGGTCCGAGAGGAATTAGCCAAACAAATTTTCGGGTTTTTAAATTTAAAACGCACATGAAATACTAAACAAACCCTGTGCGACTCCCTTTTATGGTTGAGAGAAATCAAATAAATATCTAAGTTAATTTACTCAGTACGTAATTGTGCTAATGAAAATCCTAACAAGAAGAATAAAATAAGTAGTTTTAATTGTTTGGTACGAAAAACAATTGCTATTAATAAAAATAAAATATAACTTGTGTGTAGTATGTAAGTAAAGATGATGAGCAAGTGGTGTAGTTGAAAATGCAACTTTAATTTTTGAAAACAAATTTTGTTAATTAGTGTTCTTGGGAGCTCAAAGATCAAATATGAAATTAAGATAAGCCTTTTTCGTTAAGTCGACGAACACTTGAATTTATGTTTAAAGTACCATTTGTGACGAATTATATTGAGCAAAATAATTAAAAAGTGTTTAAATGTTTTGCTCCTATAGGTTAGTATGAAGTATGGACAATTGTGTGAAATACTTATTGGTTGAAGTTAGTAAGGTTTAGATATTTTAAAAATTGTGGCAAAAGTGTTAATGGTTATTAGTTCGAACTTAACCTTAACTTTTCTAAGTATGGGAAAAGTAGTAAGACAATGCTATTTTGGCATTTAATTCCTAACAAGAATGTTTAAACACTAGCTACATATTTTGGTATTGTTGATTGCATCAAAGTGAGTACTTGGGCATGGTATAGGTGATTGTTGTGTTAGGTGTCACGTTGCTCTCATAAAAATTACCCAAATTTCGTTGGAACACGCTAGATTATGTCGTGGGCGCTCTGTTCATGAACCAGCGCTTAGCGCGATGAGCTCATGTTGGCATCCTTCCAGTTCCCTCTCTGGTCGCTCTCTGGGAGCGCGGTTTGCTTTGCTAGCTAGGTGATAGTATCAGCCCTAGGTTGGTAACTTTGGTTGGACATCCATTGAGCTGGATTTAAAGTTTGGCGTGCTCCAAAAATCATGCAAGCATGGGGTTCGGCCGGGGCCTTGATCACCAAGGTCGGGTGTCGCGCTGCGCAACGGGCAACTTGCTTTGCGCGGCCGCTACCATGCTACCATGTGTTGTGCACGCTACGTTGGCTAGAGTACCACAATGGCCATGATCGCCGTCCCATTGGCCAGCCACAATGGCGTCGCTTGGCCGCCCGCTAGGCCAGGTGTGGCCGTAGCCACTCTCCGCCGTGCACGGGATGCTACCGACCGAGGCGTTGTCCGAGCGCACATGTAGGGCTACGCCTTGCCCTCTTGTCATTTTGGTTACTGCAGTGCTCGCCCTCCACCACCCAACCCACCTACCCCAGCTCTGCTCTCGGCGCCGTGGCGTGACTTGTCGTGTCGTGAGGTCACGTTGCCGCGTGTACGTGGCCGCACAGGCACCTCCTAAAGGCTCCACCCGAGCATTTAACAACATGACCTTTGCCCTCGCTCGTGCGGTTGTGTCCTCGTGCTGCCATGCCTTGTCGGGTCACCTCAGCCGGGGCCGCTCCCTGCGACGTTGAAAGGTCCTTGTGTGGTTTTGGTAATTGAGTGACAACCAAGGTGGACTAATTGTGTTTATGTGAGATACACAGATGATTAGTCCACATGTATATGTGTGTGAGCAACATATGCCATGAAGGTGGAAATGGCTCAGAGATGTTGCAAAGCTCACACATGTGATGATGAAGGAGCTCATTGCACATGAGACATGACATT